CCAGGTAGGGACACCATTACAGCTCGAGCTCTATATCCTCAACCATGTAGACACCACTAAGCTCATCTCCTCAAGGTAGAGGACCATTAAGCTCTATCTCTATCCCCACCGTGTAGACACCCCTACAGCTCTATCTCCCACATGTAGACCACCACTCAGTCTCTCCTCCACCATTGTAGAGACCACTACAGCTCTATTCTCCTCACATGTAGAACCACTCAAGATCTATATCTTCACCCATGTAGACACACAAGCTCTATCTCCTCACAAGTAGAGGCCACTACAGCTCTATCTATATCTCTCCACCAATGTAGACACCATACCTACAGCTCCATCTCTCACCATGTAGACACCACTGCAGCTCTATTCTCTATTCCTCACATGTAGACACAACTGCAGCGCGATCTCTATCTCCTCACCATGTAGACACCACTACAGCTCTATCTCCTCACCATGTCGAGCACCACTACCAGCTCTATCTCCTCACATTGTAGACACCACTGCAGCATCTACTCTATATCCTCACCATTAGACACCACACAGTCAATCTCCTCACATGTAGGACACCACTACCAGCTCTATCTTCTCACCAGGTAGACACCATACAGCTCTATCGCCTCAACCATGTAGACAACCACTACAGTCTTCTCTCACCATGTAGACACCACTACAGCTCTATCTCCTCCCATGTAGGACACCACTGCAGCTTATCTATCTCCTCCACCATGTAGACACCACTGCAAGGCTCTATTCGCAATTCCTCACAAGTAGAGGAACACTCAGCTCTATCTCATCACCAGGTGCCACACTACAGCTCTATCTCCCATCTCTCACCATGTAGACACCACTACAGCTCTATCTGATTTCTCAACCATGTAGACAACCACTGCAGCTCTATCTCTCACCATGTAGACACCACTAAGCTCTATTTCCTTCACCATGTAGACACCCACTACAGCTCTATCTCCTCACCATGTTTAGACACCCACTACAGCTTACTCATCACCAGGTAGAAACCACTACAGTTCTATCTCCTCACAATGTAGACACCACTGCCAGCCATCTCTATTCTCCTCACCATGTAGACACCACGCAGCTCTATCTCATCTCCTCACCATGTAGACACCAATACAGCTCTATCTCCTCTCCATATAGACACCACTACAGCTCATTCTGCCGCCAAATGTAGACACCATTAAGCTTCATCTCCTCACCTGTAGGACACCATACAGCCTCTATCTCCATATCATCACCATGTGACACCACTACAGCTCTATCTCCTACCATTGTAGAAACATACAGCCGATTTCTCCTCACCATGTAGACACCACTACAGCTCTTATCTCCATTCTCACCATGTAGAGACCACTACCGGCTCTTCTCCTCACCATGTAGACACCAATACAGCTTATTCTCACCATGTAGACACACTGCCATGCTCTAATCTCTATCTCCTCACCATTGAGACCCACTACATCTCTATTCTCCTCACCAGGTAGACACCACTACAGCTCTATTCATCACCCATGTAGACACAAATACAGCTGAATCTCGATCTCCTCAAAATGTAGACCCACTACAGCTCTATTCCATCTCATCACCATGAGACACCACTAAGCTCTATCTCCTCAACATGTAGACACCAACTAAAGCTCTATCTATACTCCTCAACATGTTAGACACCACTACGCTCTATCTTCTATCTTCTCCTCACAATGACGACACAACTAACAGCTCTATCATATCTCCATGTAGACACATACAGCATATCTTTCTCCTCACCATGTAGGACACCACTACGCTCTATCCCATCTCCTCACCATGTAGAGGGCACTAGTTATATCTCACATGTGGAGGCACTTACAGCTCTATTCCTTACCATGTAGACCCACTAGCTCTATCTCCTCACCCTGTAGACACCACTACAGCTCGAGCTCATCACCATGTAGAACCACTACAGCTCTTATCTCCTCACAATGTGAACACCACTACAGCTCTATCTCCTCACCATGTAGGACATCACTACAGTATATGTCTTCAACCAGTAGGACACCACTACGCTCTATATCCACCATGTAGAGACCACTACAGCTTTCTCCTCACAATGTAGAGGCCCACTACAGCCTATCTTTACAATGTAGACCACACTAAAGCTCTATCTCATCTTCCTCACCATGTAGAGACCATCACAGCCTATCTCCTCACAAGTAGACACCACTACAGCTTATTCCTCACATGTAGACACACTACAGCTCTATCTACATCTCCTCACCATTTAAGACACACTAACAGCTCTATCTCCATCTCCTCAGTATATAGACACCGCTACAGCTCTATCTCCTCACCATGTAGACACACTACAGCTCTACTCATCTCCTCACCATATAGGGACACCACTACAGCTCTATTCCTCACCATGTAGACGCCACTTACAGCTCTATTCCTCACCATGTAGAGGACAAGCACAGCTCTCTCGCTCACCCATGTAGACACCATAAAGCTATATCTCATCACCATGTAGACACCACTAAGCATCTATCTATCACCATGTAGACACACTACAGCTCGATCTCCTTCACCATGTCGACACACTAAGCTACTCTATCTCTCACATGTAGGGGCCATACAGCCTATCTCTATATCTCACAGGTAGACACCACTACAGCTCTATCTCCGCACCATTGTAGAGGCCACTACAGCTACTATCTCGATCTCCTCAACATGTAAGCACCCTACAGCTCTTCTTATTCCTCAACATGTAGAGACCACACAAGCTCTATCTCCTCACCATGTAGACACCAACAGCTATCTCCTCCCATGTAGGACACCACTACATGCTTCTATATCCCACATGTAGAGGCAAAGACAGCTCATCTCCTCACATGGTAGACACCCAATCAGCTCTATCTCTCACCATGTAGCATACATAAGCTCTATCTCCTCCCCAATTGTAGACACAACCTACAGCTCTATCTCTATCTCCTCAACCAATATAGACACACTTACCAGCTCTATCTCCTCACCATTATTAGACACCACTACAGCTCTTATATACTCCTAACAAGGTAGAACACTACAGCTCATCTATATCTCCTCACCATATAGACAACACTACAGCTCTATATCTCACCATGTAGACCACACAGCTTATCTCTATTACCACCATGTAGAGGCCACTCTACAGCTCTATCTCATCACCATGTAGACACCACTACAGCTGAACATATCCATCTTCACCGTGTTAGAACCACTTACAGCCTCTATATCTCTCCTCACCAGGTAGCGGCCACTACAGCTCTATCTCCATCTCCTCACCAGAGACACCACTCAGCTCTATCTCCTCACCATTGTTAGACACCACTACAGCTATATCTCTTAACCAGGTAGAGGCCACCTACAGCTCTCTCTCCCACATGTAGACACCATACAGCTTATCTACTCACATGTAGACACCACACCAGCTTATCTCTCACCAAGTGTAGAGGCCACTTACAGCTCTATTCTATATCCCACCAGTAGACACCACTAAGCTCATCTCCTTCACCCTTGTAGAGGTCCACACAGTCTATCTCCATCTTCTCACCATGTAGACCCAATAAAGCTCTATTATCCATCTCCTCACCATGTAGGGACACAAATAAGCTCTATCTCTATCTCCTCACCTGAGACACCATACAGCTCTATCTCCATCTCCTACACCATGTAGACACACACTCCGCTCTCTATCTTTCATATCCTCACAATGTAGGACACCACTAAGCTCTATCTCCATTTCCTCAACCATGTAGACACCAATACAGCTCTAGCTCTCACATGTAGACACCAATACAGCTCTATCTCTCACCATGTAGACACCACTACAGCTCTAATATTCTCTCACCATGTAGACACCACACAGCTCTATCTCTATCTCCTCACAATGTTGTTTTAGGACACCACAAGCCGTCTCCTCACCATGTGAACCACTTACCGCTCTATCTCCTCCCCATGTAGACACCACTACAGCCTTCTCCTCACATGTAGACCCCACTACAGCTCTATCTTCACCCTGTAGACACCACTACAGCTCTATTCTACAAACCATGTAGAGGCCTACGGCTCATCCTTTTTTTCACATGTCGACACCCACTTACCGCTCTGCTAACCTAACCATGTAGACACCAATAAAGCTCTATCTCCTCACCATGTAGACCACCACTACAGCTCTATCTCCTCACCATGGACACCACACAGCTCTATCTCCTCCACCATGTAGAACCACTTAAAGCATCCATCTCTCACCATGTAGACCACCACTACAGTTCTATCTCCATTTCTCCTCACGTGTTGGGTATGTAGCCACCACTACCGCTCTATCTCATCTCCACCGTTTTGTAGACACCACTACAGCTCTATCTCCTCACCATGTAGACAACACTACGCTATATCCCCATTTCCTAACCGTGTAGAACACTACAGTTCTATTTCCTAACCATTGTAGACACCATACCGCTCTATCTCCTCACCAGGTAGACAACACTACAGCTTCATTCCATCTCATACCATGTAGACACCCTACAGTCTATCCATCTCTCACATGTAGAGGCCCACTACAAGCTCTATGCCTAACCATGTAAACCCCACTACAGCTCTATCTCTATCTCCTCACATGTAGACACCATACAGCTCTATTCCTAACAATTGTAGAGGCCAACTACAGCTCTCTCTCTATCTCTCACCCATGTAGACCAACTACGCTTATTCTCCTCACCATGTAGACACCCACTACAGCTCTTATCTCCATCTCCTCACCATGTAACACCACTACAAGCTCTATCTCCTCACCATGTAGACACCAATAAGATCGATATCCTCACCATGGAGACACCACTACGGCTCTATCTCCTCTCCTCACCATTGTAGGAGACCACTACGCTCTATTATCCTCACCAATGTAGAGGCCATAAGCTTATATCCATCTCTCACCATGTAGACACCACTACAGCTCTATCTCATCTAATCTACCATGTAGAGGCAAAGGCAGTTCCTGCAGTTCCTGGTTTCCAGTGGGGTGGCCAGCAGCAGCGTTTGTTGAGGACGGTTTCTAGAGGAGGCGGCAGCAGGTCCAGGAGGAAGATCAGAGAGTCTGCTACAGGCCTGGTTAGCAGAGCAGACTGGTGATGGATCTGACAAGCATATGCCGGCCTTGACCGTAGATCACATCTAGAACGAGGAGACAGACAGAGGGTTTAAATATAAACCAGGAGATGAAGCCGTAGATAATCAGAACGAGGAGACAGGACAGAAAGAGGCGTTAAATAAACCAGGAGATGACCACCGTAGATCAATGCTAGAACAGAGGAGACAGACAGAGGGTTAATAACCAGGAGTGACACCGTGAGATTCACATCAGAACAGAGGAGAGAGAGAGAGACAGCGGGTTAATAACCAGGAGCTTGACACCGTAGACACATCTAGACCAGAGGAGGAAGACAGATGGTTTAAATAAACCAGGAGCTGGACACGTCAGATCACATCTAGAACCGAGGAGCCAGACCGAGGTTTTTTTTAATAAACCAGGACGCTGACACCGTAGATCCATCTAGAACAGAGGAGAGAGACAGAGGAGTGAAATAAACCAGGAGGACACGTAGAATCACATCTAGAACAGGGAGACAGGAACCAGAGGGTTAAATAACCAGGAGCTGACACAGTAGAGCACATCGAGAACAGAGGAGACGACAGAGGGTTAAAATACAAACCAGGAGCTGACACGTAGATCACATCTAGAACAGAGGAGACAGACAGAGGGTTAAATAAACCAGGAGCTGACACCGTAGATCACATCTAGAACAGAGGAAGACAGACAAAGAGGGTTAAAATAAACCAGGAGCTGACACCGTAGATCACATCTAGAACAGAGGAGACAGACAGAGGGTTAAATAAACCAGGAGCTGACACCCGTAGATCACATCTAGAACCAGAGGAGACAGACAGAGGGTTAAATAAACCAGGAGCTGACAACCGTAGATCACATCTAGAACAGAGGATACAGACAGAGGGTTAAATAAACCAGGAGCTGACAAGCCGTAGATCACATCTAGAACAGAGGAGACAGACAGAGGGTTAATAAACCAGGAGCTGACAACCGTAGATCCACATCTAGAACAGAGGAGACAGACACAGAGGGTTAAATAACCAGGAGCTTGACACAACCGTAGATCACATCTAGAACAGAGGAGCAGACAAGGGTTAAATAAACCAGGAGCTGACACCGTAGATCACATCTAGAACAGAGGAGACAGACAGAGGGTTAAATAAACCAGGAGCTGACACCGTAGATCACATCTAGAACAGAGGAGACAGACAGAGGGTTAAATAAACCAGGAGCTGACACCGTAGATCACATCTAGAACAGAGGAGACCAGACAGACAGAGGGTTAAATAAACCAGGAGCTGACACCGTAGATCACATCTAGAACAGAGGAGACAGACAGAGGGTTAAATAAACCCAGGAGCTTGACAACCGGAGATCACATCTAGAACCAGAGGAGAACAGACAGAGGGTTAAATAAACCAGGAGCTGAACACCGTAGATCACATCTAGAACAGAGGAGACAGACAGAGGGTTAAATAAACCAGGAGCTGACACCGTAGATCACATCTAGAACAGAGTGAGACAGACAGAGGGTTAAATAAACCAGGAGCTGATCACTTAGAATCACATCTAGAACGAGGAGACAGACAGAGGTTAAATAAAACCAGGATCTGACAAGACACCTAGATCCATCTAGAATGGAACAGAGGAGACAACTATTTTAGTAGTTCTTCAAAGTAAATAAAGGCATACTTTATGACTGCTGAATACCAACTATCAGTCACTTAGATCATGTATTTTCATGTTCGTGAAGCAGCTGCTTTCTATCCCACTACATCGCTCCGCACAGACCGGACAAGTTTAAGCGGGCACGCAATGCATTATGGTCATTGTAGTTAATTACCACATTTTCTGCGCTAAACCACATCGCACAGTTCAGGCTTGATCCGATTTCTCTCTACACAAACTGCACATCGAGCTCACAGAAAAAAAACCTGAACGAAATGGAATTCAAATAATTGAACCGACTACCGGTCAATTAGTTGTTTAATCCAATAATAACCAAAATATCAGTGAATCCCTCAGCACTACGTGATATAAAGTGGATGTTAGAAGACTGCTAAATGCTGAGTGCAATGAATGATGGGCGTCATCTCTTGGCACTGAATAAAATGTTTGAAATGTCTCTCTATGAGAGAGGGAGAGAGAGAAAGAGAGAGATAGAGAGAGAGAGAGAGAAAGAGAGAGAGAGAGCGCGAGAGAGAGAGAGAGAGAGAGAGAGACAGAGATAAAGAGAGCGAGAGAGAGAGAGAGAGAGAGAGAGAGAGAGAGAGAGCGAGAGAGAGAGAGATAGAGAGAGAGAGAGAGAGAGAGAGAAAGAGAGCGAGAGAGAAAGAGAGCGAGAGAGAGAGGGAGAGAAAGAGAGCGAGAGAGACAGAGAGACAAGACAGACAGAGACAGACCCAGTGATCCAGTAGTAGTCATAATAACCTCGTAGTTTCTCTCTGACGCTGCCGTTCCAGGAGCTCTCCCGGAGCAGGGTGGCAGAGCGGGAGAAGATGTCCGTAGCGTGAGGCAGCAGCAGCTGAAGGTGCTTGTGGAGCAGAGCCACACTGCTAGAGTTCTGGGAGATATTATAAAGACAGGAAGTATCAGACAAACTGTTACTGCTGCTCGAGTTGTGTTACACAAACACATGTAAGCGTCATTCATTCATAAAAAAAAACTCTAATCTATTGCATAAAAGGTCTGCTTTGTCAAGCTTGAGCGAGTTATGTGAATGGGACTGTGATCGTCACAATATAGAACATCTGAGAAAATGTGTGTGTGTCCTCTCCATTGTGTGTGTGTGTGTGTGTGTGTTTGTGTGTGTGTGTGTGTGTGTGTGTGTGTGTGTGAGTGTGTGCGTGCGTGCGTGCGTGTGCGTGTGTATGCATGCATGCATGCCAGTGTGTGTGAGTGTGTGTGTGCGTGCGTGCGTGTGTATGCATGCCAGTGTGTGTGTCCTCTCCATTGTGTGTGTGTGTGTGTGTGCGTGCGTGCGTGTGTGTGTGTGTGTGTGTGTATGCATGCATGCCAGTGTGTGTGAGTGTCAGTGGAGGCTGCTGAGGGGAGGACGGCTCCTGATAATGGCTGGAACGGAGTAAATGGAATGGTACCATTCCACATGAAAACCAGGTGTTTGATGCCATTCCATTCACTCCGTTCCAGCCATTACTATGAGCCGTCCTCCCCTCAGGAGTGTCCCTTCCCTGCGTACCTCGGTGACACAGTTGATGTGGCAGTACGCCAGCAGTTGTTTCTGTAGGGAGCAGAGCAGCTCGTGGAGGTGGGCCGGCTGACTGCTGTCTGATGACGATGTTCCCTGGAGAAGCTTGTCGCTGTTCTTCTCTAACTCCCCAAACGCTTGGTCCTGCACACACACACAGAGGCACGCACACACACACACACAGACACACAGACACACAGACACACAGACACACAAACGCAGAGGCACGCACACACACACACACACACACACAGACACACACACACACAGACACACAATGAATATCCAGGCAACAAGAGAGAGAAGCACAGAAAACAGTCTAGTCATTATCTGCTGCTTAATAACACCCAGGAGACAGACTCACAGGGTAACAGCCACATCTGCAGCTAGATGAATGAGCTCTGCCTAGCCTGTCTCTGCAGGTGGAGAAGAGAGGTAGTGGACACATGGTTTATGATCAATAAAAACACCGTCTTAGGAGAGGAGTCAGTGCAATGATGAACGTTAGGATGTGTCCCAAATAGCACCCTATTCCCTATATAGCGCACTACTTTTGACCAGAGCAGTGCACTAAACAGGGAGTAGGGTGCCATTTGGGCTGCAGCCAGGAAAAACAATCTGCTACAATAATAACGTGGATCAGCCAGGATGAGTCACACACTGTTACTGAGGAGAGAGGAGACTGTGTTACTGCCAGCTGAGCTCTAATGGGAGAGGAGAGGAGAGAGGAGACTGTGTTACTGCCAGCTGAGCTCTAATGGGAGAGGAGACGGTGTTACTGCCAGCTGAGCTCTAATGGGAGAGGAGAGGAGAGAGGAGGAGACTGTGTTACTGCCAGCTGAGCTCTAATGGGAGAGGAGAGGAGAGGAGGAGACTGTGTTACTGCCAGCTGAGCTCTAATGGGAGAGGAGACTGTCTTACTGCCAGCTGAGCTCTAATGGGAGAGGAGAGGAGAGGAGGAGACTGTGTTACTGCCAGCTGAGCTCTAATGGGAGAGGGGAGGAGACTGTGTTACTGCCAGCTGAGCTCTAATGGGAGAGGAGAGGAGAGAGGAGGCGACTGTGTTACTGCCAGCTGAGCTCTAATGGGAGAGAGGAGAGGAGAGAGGAGGAGACTGTGTTACTGCCAGCTGAGCTCTAATGGGAGAGGAGAGGAGAGAGGAGGAGACTGTGTTACTGCCAGCTGAGCTCTAATGGGAGAGGAGAGGAGAGAGGAGGTGACTGTGTTACTGCCAGCTGAGCTCTAATGGGAGAGGAGAGGAGAGAGGAGGAGGCTGTGTTACTGCCAGCTGAGCTCTAATGGGAGAGGAGGAGACTGTGTTACTGCCAGCTGAGCTCTAATGGGAGAGGAGAGAGGAGGAGACTGTGTTACTGCCAGCTGAGCTCTAATGGGAGAGGAGAGGAGAGAGGAGGAGACTGTGTTACTGCCAGCTGAGCTCTAATGGGAGAGGAGAGGGGAGAGGAGGAGACTGTGTTACTGCCAGCTGAGCTCTAATGGGAGAGGAGAGGAGAGAGGAGGAGACTGTGTTACTGCCAGCTGAGCTCTAATGGGAGAGGAGAGGAGAGAGGAGGAGACTGTGTTACTGCCAGCTGAGCTCTAATGGGAGAGAGGAGAGGAGAGAGGAGGAGCCTGTGTTACTGCCAGCTGAGCTCTAATGGGAGAGGAGAGGAGAGAGGAGGAGACTGTGTTACTGCCAGCTGAGCTCTAATGGGAGAGGAGAGGAGAGAGGAGGAGACTGTGTTACTGCCAGCTGAGCTCTAATGGGAGAGGAGAGGAGAGAGGAGGAGACTGTGTTACTGCCAGCTGAGCTCTAATGGGAGAGGAGAGGAGAGGAGAGGAGAGAGGAGGAGACTGTGTTACTGCCAGCTGAGCTCTAATGGGAGAGGAGAGGAGAGAGGAGGAGACTGTGTTACTGCCAGCTGAGCTCTAATGGGAGAGGAGAGGAGAGGAGAGAGGAGGAGACTGTGTTACTGCCAGCTGAGCTCTAATGGGAGAGGAGAGGAGAGAGGAGGAGACTGTGTTACTGGCAGCTGAGCTCTAATGGGAGAGAGGAGGAGACTGTGTTACTGCCAGCTGAGCTCTAATGGGAGAGGAGGTGACTGTGTTACTGCCAGCTGAGCTCTAATGGGAGAGGAGAGGAGAGAGGAGGAGACTGTGTTACTGCCAGCTGAGCTCTAATGGGAGAGGAGAGGAGAGAGGAGGAGACTGTGTTACTGCCAGCTGAGCTCTAATGGGAGAGGAGAGGGGAGAGGAGGAGAAAGTGTTACTGCCAGCTGAGCTCTAATGGGAGAGGAGAGGAGAGAGGAGGAGACTGTGTTACTGCCAGCTGAGCTCTAATGGGAGAGGAGAGGAGAGGGGAGAGGAGGAGACTGTGTTACTGCCAGCTGAGCTCTAATGGGAGAGGAGAGGAGGAGACTGTGTTACTGCCATCTGAGCTCTAATGGGAGAGGAGAGGAGAGGAGAAGACTGTGTTACTGCTAGCTGAGCTCTAATGGGAGAGGAGAGGAGAGGAGGAGACTGTGTTACTGCCAGCTGAGCTCTAATGGGAGAGGAGAGGAGAGGAGGAGACTGTGTTACTGCCAGCTGAGCTCTAATGGGAGAGGAGAGGAGGGGAAGAGGAGGAGACTGTGTTTACTGCTAGCTGAGCTCTAATGGGAGGAGGAGAGGAGAGAGAGGAGGCGACTGTGTTACTGCCAGCTGAGCTCTAATGGGAGAGGAGAGGAGGGGAGAGGAGGAGACTGTGTTACTGCCAGCTGAGCTCTAATGGGAGAGGAGAGGAGAGAGGAGGAGACTGTGTTACTGCCAGCTGAGCTCTAATTGGGAGAGGAGAGGAGAGGAGAGAGGAGGAGACTGTGTTACTGCCAGGGAGAGATGGACCTGTGTTACTGCCAGCTGAGCTCTAATGGGAGAGGAGAGGAGAGAGGAGGAGACTGTGTTTACTGCCAGCTGAGCTCTAATTGGAGAGAGGAGGAGACTGTGTTACTGCCAGCTGAGCTTAATGGGGAGAGGAGGAAACTGTGTTAACTGCCAGCTGAGCTCTAATGGGAGAGGAGAGGAGAGAGGAGGAAGACTGTGTTACTGCCAGCTGAGCTCTAATGGGAGAGGAGAGGAGAGAGGAGGAGACTGTGTTAACTGCCAGCTGAGCTCTAATGGGAGAGGAGAGGAGAGAGGAGGAGACTGGTGTTACTGCTAGCTGAGCTCTAATGGGAGAGGAGACTGTGTTACTGCCAGCTGAGTCTCTAATGGGAGAGGAAGGGGAGAGGAGGAGACTGTGTTACTGCCAGCTGAGCTCTAATGGGAGAGGAGAGGAGAGAGGAGGACTGTGTTACTGCCAGCTGAGCTCTAATGGAGAGAGGAGAGGAGGAGACTGTGTTACTGCCAGCTGAGCTCTAATGGGAGAGGAGAGGGGAGAGGAGGAGACGTGTTACTGCCAGCTGAGCTCTAATGGGAGAGGAGAGGAAGAGAGGAGACTGTGTTACTGCCAGCTGAGCTCCAATGGGAGAGGAGAGGAGAGAGGAGGGAGGAGACTGTGTTACTGCCAGCTGAGCTCTAATGGGAGAGGAGAGGAGAGGAGGAGACAGTGTTACTGCCATCTGAGCTCTAATGGGAGAGGAGAGAGGAGGAGAGAGGAGACTGTGTTACTGCTAGCTGAGCTCTAATGGGAGAGGAGAGGAGAGGAGGAGAAATGTGTTTACTGCCAGCTGAGCTCTAATGGGAGAGGAGAGGAGAGGAGGAGACTGTGTTACTGCCACTGAGCTCTAATGGGAGAGGAGAGGAGGGAGGAGACTGTGTTACTGCTAGCTGAGCTCTAATGGGAGGAGAGGAGGAGGAGGAGACTGTGTACTGCCAGCTGAGCTCTAATGGGAGGAGGAGAGGAGGAGACTGTGTTACTGCCAGCTGAGCTCTAATGGGAGAGGACGGTAGAGTGAGTTAAGGAGGAGACTGTGTTACTGCAGCTGAGCTCTAATGGGAGAGGAGAGGGGAGAGGAGGAGACTGTGTTACTGCCAGCTGAGCTCTAATGGAGGGAGAGGAGAGGAGGAGACTGTGTTACTGCCAGCTGAGCTCTAATGGGAGAGGAGACGGTGTTATGCCAGGAGGCATGGAGAGGAGACTGTGTTACTGCCAGCTGAGCTCTAATGGGAGAGGAGAGGAGAGAGGAGGAGACTGTGTTACTGCCAATCTGAGCTCTAATGGGAGGAGAGAGGAGAGGAGGAGACTGTGTTACTGCCAGCTGAGCTCTAATGGGAGAGGAGGAGGGAAGAGGAACTTGTTACTGCCAGCTGAGCTCTAATGGGAGAGGAGAGGAGGAGACTGTGTTACTGCCAGCTGAGCTCTAATGGGAGAGGAGAGGAGAGAGGAGGAGACTGTGTTACTGCCAGCTGAGCTCTAATGGGAGAGGAGAGGAGAGAGGAGGAGACTGTGTTACTGCCAGCTGAGCTCTAATGGGAGAGGAGAGGAGAGAGGAGGAGACTGTGTTACTGCCAGCTGAGCACTAATGGGAGAGGAGAGGAGAGAGGAGGAGACTGTGTTACTGCCAGCTGAGCTCTAATGGGAGAGGAGAGGAGAGAGGAGGAGACTGTGTTACTGCCAGCTGAGCTCTAATGGGAGAGGAGAGGAAGAGACTGTGTTACTGCCAGCTGAGCTCTAATGGGAGAGGAGAGGAGAGAGGAGAGGGTGACAGTCTCACTATGCAGTACGACAAGGTAAAACAGCAGAGCAACAGGTTGTTTTTTGCATGGTTTTAAAGACAGGATGTTTTACTTGCCCAGAGCTGTTTCAGGAGACATAACAGCGTTAGGAGAGGAGACCGTTTTTCATCTAGGCTAACAATATTATTGTAAACAGTCTATTCAGTGTTCAATGGTTTAATTACTGTATTACCGCTGTAAATCCTATTTCAGATATAGTCATATTTTTACATTTACATTTTAAGTCATTTAGCAGACGCTCTTATCCAGAGCGACTTACAGGAGCAATTAGGGTTAAGTGCCTTGCTTAAGGGCACATCGACAGATTTTTCACCTAGTCGGCTCCGGGATTAGAACCAGCGACCTTTCGGTTACTGGCACAACGCTCTTACCCACTAAGCTACCTGCCGCCCCTAGTCATAGACTGGAAGACTCCCAAGAACAGCGGTGCAGGGTTTGTTCTCCATCCATTCCCTACCTTCAATCCTGAAGCAACAATAACGCAGGACCCCCCCCTGCCTAAATAACGGTAGAGCCCTACTATACACTCTCTATGAGATAGAATGATCTGGAACAACCATGCTGCCTCTCTCCTCACCGTGTAGAAGCCCAGGTTCCTGAGCAGGGTCTTCATTAGGATCTCGGCCAGGTGTGTGTCAGGGTTGGTGCCGGGGGCTCCGTAAGGGGGGTCCAGGCTGCAGGAGGAGGCGGAGGAGGAGGCCAGGGCCTCGGGGGCGTCAGGGGGACAGCTGAACCCCAGGAGGGACGCTACATGGGTGTGGTCTTGGAGCGAAGTCAGAATGATGTCCAGCTGCATCCTCTGGAAACACAGGGTCAGAGATCAGGGTCAGAGATCAGGGGTCAGAGATCAGGGGTCAGAGATCAGGGGTCAGAGATCAGGGGTCAGAGGTCAGGGGTCAGGGGTCAGAGGTCAGGGACAGGGACAGGGACAGGATGCGGCTAAAGAGAGATACACAGAGGTCAGCTATCTATCTATCTATGGCAGCATTTTCACCAAACGTGCACTTAGTTTCGTTTGACCTGTTTTCTATTGATATTTATTTGTATATATCCATAAAAATGATGCTGATTCATGATTTCGACTGGTTGAGAAAAGCTGCCTGCCTGTCTGTCTCATCACAAATCCCGACTCCTGACACGTTCATTACTATGGGACAGCTGGAGATCGATTTCAATAGTGAAACAATGTTGCAAATGTCGGAGTGACAGACAGCAAGGTTTATACAAATCTCCGCTGTTGAAAACCAAATGCTAGTCTAAAAGAAATGTGAGATAATGTCTAGATGCTTTTTATAGTGGAGATCAAGTTTATAAATTGCCTGGCTGGGCTGATGAGACAGTGGATTGGGCAGTCAGATGGAACAGAGTAAATAGGCATTTTAACGTCATAGATTTAGCCGGTGGTAACTTGTGGAATAGACACCGGCTGGAATGCACTTTTAACCAATCAGCACTCAGGATTAGACCCACCTGTTGTATATCAGACCGTATACCACGGGTATGACACAACATTACATTTTACTGCTCTAATTACGTTGGTAACCAGTTTATAATAGCAATAAGACACCTCAGGGGTTTGTGATATATGGTCAATATACCACGGCTAAGGGCTGTATCCAGACACTCCGTGTTGCGTCGTGTTTAAGAACAGCCCATAGCCGTGGTATATTGGCCATATACCACACCCCCTCGGGCCTTATTGCTTAATTAGAACTAGGGCCTTATTGATATAGTCACAGGTAAATGGCGTTGTTCGGCCCGACGTGCAATACACCTATGGACTATACCTGTCCTTTAGACAGACTCTCCCAGCGGTCAGGTCCCTGGGGCAGCAGGGAGTGAAGAAGCTCCATCCTCTCTCTCAGAGGAGGTAACAGCATAGTGGCCCCCACAGACAGAGTCTCGATCACAGCCTGGAGAAAACAGGGAGATGGGTCAACACAACAGACACAGTGTTACAGCAGACAACACAGAGACACAGTGTTAGAACCCGACAACACAGAGACACAGTGTTAGAACCTGACAACACAGAGACACAGTGTTAGAACCTGACAACACAGAGACACAGTGTTAGAGCCTGACAACACAGAGACACAGTGTTAGAGCCTGACAACACAGAGACACAGTGTTAGAGCCTGACAACACAGAGACACAGGTTAAAAGCCACACCAGAGACAGAGTGTCATCAAGCCTGGACAACAAGAGACACAGAGACTGTACAACAGAGAGACCACAGTGTTAGACAGCTCTCAACACAGCCTGTTACACAGAGAACTGTACCACAGAGCATGTACACAGAGATGTACACAGTCCCTCTACAGGCCTCAATCACAGCCTGGACACAGTGTACCACAGAGACTGTACAACAGAGATGTACACAGTCCCCTACGACAGCTCTCAATCACAGCCTGGTTACACAGAGATGTACCACAGAGATGTACCACAGAGATGTACCACAGTCCCCTACAGACAGCATCTCAATCACAGCCTGGTTACACAGAGATGTACCACAGAGATGTACCACAGAGATGTACCACAGTCCCCTACAGACAGCATCTCAATCACAGCCTGGTTACACAGAGATGTACCACAGTCCCCTACAGACAGCATCTCAATCACAGCCTGGTTACACAGAGATGTACCACAGAGATGTACCACAGTCCCCTACAGAGAGAGTCTCAATCACAGCCTGGCATAAACAACAACAACAACAACAACAACGCCTCAGAATGAGAGGAGGTAACAGCATGACTATCGATCTCAATCCCAGCCTGACAACCACAACACAGTGACACCGGGGTTGGCTCAGGGACAAACCCCAAGGGGTTAAGGAGCTGGCATGTAGTCAAGTTCAGACCAGTCAGTCAACAGATGAAGCCTTGTTGCTTCACATATCCAGAGTCCATATTACCATCTCTAGTCTGAAAGGTCATGTTGTCAATCTATAGTGTAAACATTTGGCCTGTTTACAGACACCCTTCAATGAACAGCTAATCTAGTGATTACTGTGTAAGCCAGTGCTCACCTCTTGGATCTCATCAGGAACAGAGGAGTCCATCAGTCTGAAGAGAAGGTTCCGGAGGGGGCGGGCCTGTCGCCCTAGGATACTGGTGGCCACGCCCCCAGCCAGAGCCAGAGCCAGGTGATTGGACAGCAGTCGAAGGCAGAGTTTCAGGAAGTTGTGATGATCCCTGTAATGAAGCAGTAGAATAGAGTGTTATGATATTGTCTGGATAAAACACAGCAGAAAGTCAACGCAACAGTTTTCATTCATCTCAATGATCGTAGCGTGAGTCAAATGCTACAGAAGTATATTGTATTTGCATTGGTCTTATGGGACTGTTAATGCCTCAGATGAATAGTCACCTGACGTAGGTGGAGGCTACTGTCACTTTAAATCTGAGAGACGGTTTCATTGGAATGGGGGGTTAGAATGGAATGAATGGAACAACATTTAAACACATGGTTTCCATGAGCTGGATACCGTTCCAATGATCCCATTCCAGTCTTTACTATGAGCCTCCACCTGTAGGGTTCACCCCTGGTGCCTGCAGGTACCCACCTGGACGAGGGGAAGGGGAGGGGTGGCACCTCGCTGTTGATGCCGTCACAGTAGCGCTCTAGGAAGGAACGCAGGTGAGAGAAAGTGCTTTCTTCCAGGTCCACACAGTAGGGTCTGTGCCATGCTACCACCTGTCTGTCCAGGAAGTCAAAACACAACAATATATTATAGCTAGTTCACTATCATCTCATATCTAAAAAAAATAACTCCTCAACACCATAGTATGTGTAAACTCGGTAGGCCCAAGCTTCTCAACAAGATCAGATTTGGAAGGGAGGTGTGTGTGTGTGTGTGTGTGTGTGTTGTGTCTGTGTGTGTGTGTGTGTGTGTGTGTGTGTGTGTGTGTGTGTGTGTGTGTGTGTGTGTGTGTGTGTGTGTGTGGTGTGTGTGTGGTGTGTGTGTGGTGTGTGTGTGTGTGTGTGTGTGTGTGTGTGTGTGTGTGTGTGTGTGTGTGTGTGTGTGTGTGTGTGTGGTGTGTGTGTGTGTGTGTGTGTGTGTGTGTGTGTGTGTGTGTGTGTGTGTGTGTGTGTGTGTGTGTGTGTGTGTGTGTGTGTGTGTGTGTGTGTGTGTGTGTGAACAGTAGGAATAGTCCCTGCTGACCCCCTGGAGGTCTGAAGTCCAGGGCCGCCTGCTGAATGCTGCAGCAGACTCAGCATTCCACATAGAAATACCATGGGTAGAGATGCTAGCGTAATTAGTAAAGCCCAACCGATATGGCTTTTTGGGTCAGAATTTTTTTTTTGGGGGGGGGGGGGGGGGTTAACGATAGATCTGCCGATACACTGAAATAAAAAGTAAAAAATTTCCACACTGAATTTTCATACATTTCCATCCAAAAGAGCAATTGTCCAATAACTATGCTTCAAATGTTGATTTCATACATTGTGACATTATTGACATCATGAGAATGGCCGCAGGTGTTCAAATTAGCATGAGATTACCTTTTTCATCCTATTTATTCAATATTGGTTATCGGTGGAATTATCGGTAAAAGGCCAATATCGGCCGATAATGTCGGTGAACCAACATATCGGTGGGGCTCAATAATAGGTATTTAACTCCACACATCAGAGGTCAGCTCAGCTCACTACATCTGAATGCGTCCCTAATTTCATGAAGAGCTGACATGCTTCCCTTCTCCTCTCTCTAAAGGATCAGAGAGGCTTGTGTTCTACACAGCAGAGTTCTACTTCCACAACGTTGTGCCCTACTGAAGGCAGACCTCAGAAAACCATTGGTTCTGTACCTGTACCTGTACCTGTCCCTGGGCAGAGCGGTCCACGCCAGGCTGTGTGTTCTACATGCTATATTTCTATACTGACCTGTCCCTGGGCATCATGTCTCTTCTACATGCTATATTTCTATACTGACCTGTCCCTGGGCATCATGTCTCTTCTATATTTCTATACTGACCTGTCCCTGGGCATCATGTCTCTTCTACATGCTATATTTCTATACTGACCTGTCCCTGGGCATCATGTCTCTTCTACTTGCTATATTTCTATACTGACCTGTCCCTGGGCATCATGTCTCTTCTACATGCTATATTTCTATACTGACCTGTCCCTGGGCATCATGTCTCTTCTACATGCTATATTTCTATACTGACCTGTCCCTGGGCATCATGTCTCTTCTACATGCTATATTTCTATACTGACCTGTCCCTGGGCATCATGTATCTTCTACATGCTATATTTCTATACTGACCTGTCCCTGGGCATCATGTCTCTTCTACATGCTATATTTCTATACTGACCTGTCCCTGGGCATCATGTCTCTTCTACATGCTATATTTCTATACTGACCTGTCCCTGGGCATCATGTCTCTTCTATATTTCTATACTGACCTGTCCCTGGGCATCATGTCTCTTCTATATTTCTATACTGACCTGTCCCTGGGCATCATGTCTCTTCTACATGCTATATTTCTATACTGACATGTCCCTGGGCATCATGTCTCTTCTACATGCTATATTTCTATACTGACCTGTCCCTGGGCATCATCTCTTCTAAATGCTATATTTCTATACTGACCTGTCCCTGGGCATCATGTCTCTTCTATATTTCTATACTGACCTGTCCCTGGGCATCATGTCTCTTCTATATTTCTATACTGACCTGTCCCTGGGCATCATGTCTCTTCTACATGCTATATTTCTATACTGACCTGTCCCTGGGCATCATGTCTCTTCTACATGCTATATTTCTATACTGACCTGTCCCTGGGCATCATGTCTCTTCTATATTTCTATACTGACCTGACCCTGGGCATCATGTCTCTTCTAAATGCTATATTTCTACCGGGTCCGGTAGGAGTACCAACCTGTCCCTGGGCAGAGCGGTCCATGCCAGGCTGTGGGAGGTGCCAGCTGAGATCTGCTGGATGGCCACACCGTCCAGACCGACCACCTTCTTAGGCTTGGTGATGGGACCAGTAGAGTTACCCTGGCCACACTGGCCCATCGAGTTGTTCCCCCACGCATACACCTCATTGTCTAGGAGGAGGAGAGAGAGATGACAGACAAAACATTTCATATCAGTGGATTCAATCATTCATCACAGGGGGGGGGGGTCATTTTCTTGGGATGTTATGACGTGGTTTAAAAAAAGTGGTGTGAGGTTAAGAAATGGGGTTAAGAAGTGGTGAAATGTGCACTTGCATTGTATGGAATCATAAGAATCTCCCCTTTCAGAAACAACAGAATATATGACTTATCCTGTTTGAACTTTACAGATAAACAAGAGAATCTCTAGTAAACAGTTCATACAGGATAAGTCAATACTGCCTCATCTCTAGCTCTCTCCAGGTGTTGTGTGTTTAACTTGTGGTTAAAGGGTGGTCTGGGTGGTCTAGCGATTAGCCCAGCTAGCAGACTATCCTCCTTATTCCCCTGTATCTCTGCACTGTCTCTGTCCAATACACTGGAACAATCTTTAGTAAATAATCGTATATATTGCCTGGGGTGGTCTAGTGGTTTAAGCTGCTGTCTCGCTCCTACTACCTTCTATCTCCATCTCACTAGCCAAGAAACATACAAAATACTGAAAACATCTATTTAAAATATTTTTTTTTTTAAGTGTTTGGATGTTTTACCGTGTGAGAGAGATACACAGTGGCTGTCTCCTATGGAGAGGTCTACCACCCTGGTCGCTGCCAACTCCTCAATCAGCTTTGGTCTCAGAGCAGTGGCTTCAGAGGACCCACAGCCCAGACAGGCCCCACAGCCCCAGGCATACACCTAGACATAACACAGGATATAGGACCAGTCACTAGAACACAGCCCCAGGCATACACCTAGACATAACACAGGATATAGGACCAGTCACTATAACACAGGACAACATAGGGCCAGTCACTATAACACAGGGTATAGGGCCAGTCACTATAACACAGGATATAGGACCAGTCACTACAACACAGGATATAGGACCAGTCACTAGAACACAGGATATAGGACCAGTCACTAGAACACAGGACCAGTCACTAGAACACAGGACCAGTCACTATTACACAGGGTATAGGACCAGTCACTAGAACACAGGATATAGGACCAGTCACTATAACACAGGATATAGGACCAGTCACTAGAACACAGGATATAGGACCAGTCACTAGAACACAGGATATAGGACCAGTCACTAGAACACAGGATATAGAACCAGTCACTAGAACACAGGATATAGGACCAGTCACTAGAACACAGGATATAGAACCAGTCACTATAACACAGGATATAGGACCAGTCACTAGAACACAGGATATAGGACCAGTCACTATAACACAGGATATAGGACCAGTCACTATAACACAGGATATAGCACCAGTCACTAGAACACAGGATATAGGACCAGTCACTAGAACACAGGATATAGGACCAGTCACTAGAACACAGGATATAGGACCAGTCACTATAACACAGGATATAGGACCAGTCACTAGAACACAGGATATAGCACCAGTCACTAGAACACAGGATATAGGACCAGTCACTAGAACACAGGATATAGGACCAGTCACTAGAACACAGGATATAGGACCAGTCACTATAACACAGGATATAGCACCAGTCACTAGAACACAGGATATAGCACCAGTCACTAGAACACAGGATATAGGGCCAGTCACTAGAACACAGGATATAGGACCAGTCACTATAACACAGGATATAGGACCCAGTCACTAGAACACAGGATATAGGACCAGTCACTAGAACACAGGATATAGGACCAGTCACTAGAACACAGGATATAGGACCAGTCACTAGAACACAGGATATAGGACCAGTCACTAGAACACAGGATATAGAACCAGTCACTAGAACACAGGATATAGGACCAGTCACTAGAACACAGGATATAGGACCAGTCACTAGAACACAGGATATAGGACCAGTCACTAGAACACAGGATATAGGACCAGTCACTAGAACAATAGTTAAAAAACTATTTTGACAAGAGACAACTGAAAAAGAGTTCCAAACGATTAAGTTGCAAACGTTCAAGATTCCTCCCTCCCGTTCATAAAAAGTGTAAACTGCCAGTAAACTGCCAATCCTACCTGTCCAGTGGAGGTCAGGGCCAGGGAGGACTGGCTTCCAGCACACCCTTTCCTTATGAACATCCCCTGCAAGGCCTCCACTACCTTGGGTTTGTACACGCGGTTTGTATCTCCATGCCCCAGTTTCCCTGAAGGGTAGACAAAATTACACATTTACCCAGTTTCCCTGAAGGGTAGACAAAATTACACATTTACCCAGTTTCCCTGAAGGATAGACAAAATTACACATTTACCCAGTTTCCCTGAAGGGTAGACAAAATTACACATTTACCCAGTTTCCCTGAAGGATAGACAAAATTACACATTTACCCAGTTTCCCTGAAGGATAGACAAAATTACACATTTACCCAGTTTCCCTGAAAGGTAGACAAAATTACACATTTACCCAGTTTCCCTGAAGGATAGACAAAATTACACATTTACCCAGTTTCCCTGAAGGGTAGACAAAATTACACATTTATAGATATTTACAGATATATTACCATTCATATTATTTATGTAAAACCCATACCTCAATACGAAGACAGAATTACACAATAAATGATATGTATCGATATATATTTCCATATATATGTCGACATTTCGAGATATATTGAGATATATTTTGCTATTTAATATAAAAACATCAGGTGGATTCCAGTCTTGTGTCCGGAGGCTTCGCCCACCATTGTCTCCCCCGCCGAAGGACCACACGGTGCGGCCATCCTTTGACAAAGCTATGGTGTGAGAACTCCCACAAGACACCTCTCCTACGTTACTGATGTCTTTGACCAGAGTAGGAATGTTTCTGCTGTTGCTGTCTCCGTGACCTGCACATCAACACACAGAGAAGGAGAGATATTTCACCAGACAGAGGGGGAAATGTATTATCGCCATATCAACCAGACAGTAGAGAAATACGTGCGCTGTGCACACACACACAGCCTATAGATAATCTGTCGGGCAGAGAGAGCGTGCAGCTGTCAAACAGCTGGTTGTTGCATGGAGCGAAAACTGACAGCAGTATGGGGAGGACAGCGGTAGGAAAGGTGTTCCAAGTTATATCTACCAGTAAATGCTAAAGGCAAGAATGGGTACGAAAACCAGATATTTAAAAAGTTCAAAGTCTTGATTGGATATTTGCAATGCACAATTCAGTCATCATGGAATAGCCTGCCTTGAAAATCAGACATTTCCTCTAGGCTATTTGGTCCTTGAAAAGTAATTAATGTTATGGTAGCCGATTTACAAGTTCTACTTCCCCAATATAATTCTTACGTGATTTAATTTCTGATCAGAAATGTAGGGTGTTGAGCTAGTCTGTTGCGCTTGTTGCAGTAAAACCATGCACGGTTATTATGAGCAAGACAACATCGAATGTTGGCTTCAACTTGGTTTTCCATACAAAGCGTTCCATTACAAAGGGAACCCGTTTTTCGGTCGCTTTCTCGTTTTAAAACATGATCCAGTCACCCTTCAATAACTCTTCAACATCTCAAAAATGGTGGGACTGACTAGCTACAACAAGGACAGACTTCATTAATGTGTTTGTGTCAGGCTGACAGGGACAAGGACACCAAGGAACCCAGCTGACACTACAAGAGACAAGGACACCAAGGAACCCAGCTGACACTACAAGAGACAAGGACACCAAGGAACCCTGCTAACACTACAAGGGACAAGGACACCAAGGAACCCAGCTGACACTACAAGGGACAAGGACACCAAGGAACCCAGCTGACACTACAAGAGACAAGGACACCAAGGAACCCAGCTAACACTACAAGAGACAAGGACACCAAGGAACCCAGCTGACACTACAAGGGACAAGGACACCAAGGAACCCTGCTAACACTACAAGGGACAAGGACACCAAGGAACCCAGCTGACACTACAAGGGACAAGGACACCAAGGAACCCAGCTGACACTACAAGAGACAAGGACACCAAGGAACCCTGCTAACACTACAAGGGACAAGGACACCAAGGAACCCAGCTGACACTACAAGGGACAAGGACAACAAGGAACCCAATGTTGTTGTTTTCTATTAAAAAGTGTGATTTTGAGAGCGAGAACCTGAAAAAACTGGCAGAAATCACAGTCCTTCTCCACGTTTTTTTTTTTTGTGGTATCATTTTCGTATGAAGTATCGTTTTTATTTATTTCTACTCTGCCCTCTAGAGGATTTCGCAGGAAAGAACAACTGGCACTTTGAAATCTGCAATAAATAAATGTTGCACTTTATTTTAAGTGTATTTTCTTTGCTGTTACAGTAAGTCTATCCAAATCACTGTAAGAACCCAAGCATGCTCATTTAAAAGAAGCCTAGTCATTATTAGCCTAGTTCACATTAAGGGACACAGGCCAGGTCATGATCAATTATACATTATTTTATTTTTAAAAGATTGCTGCGACCAAATCATGTGCTGGTGCCACCAACTGAACAAGTTAGTGTAGAACCCTGCTGCCCTCGCAGCAGTAAAAACACAATGTTCAGAGAGCTAATAATGTTCAGAGTGCTAATAATGTTCTAATAATGTTCAGAGTGCTAATAATGTTCTAATAATGTTCAGAGTGCTAATAATGTTCTAATAATGTTCAGAGTGCTAATAATGTTCTAATAATGTTCAGAGTGCTAATAATGTTCTAATAATGTTCAGAGTGCTAATAATGTTCTAATAATGTTCAGAGTGCTAATAATGTTCTAATAATGTTCAGAGTGCTAATAATGTTCTAATAATGTTCAGAGTGCTAATAATGTTCAGAGTGCTAATAATGTTCAGAGTGCTAATAATGTTCTAATAATGTTCAGAGTGCTAATAATGTTCAGAGTTCTAATAATGTTCAGAGTGCTAATAATGTTAAGAGTGCTAATAATGTTCAAAGTGTTAATAATGTTCAGAGTGCTAATAATGTTCAATGTTAATAATGTTCAGAGTGCTAATAATGTTCTAATAATGTTCAGAGTGTTAATAATGTTCAGAGTGCTAATAGTGTTCAGAGTGCTAATAATGTTCTAATAATGTTCAGAGTGCTAATAATGTTCAGAGTGCTAATAATGTTCAGAGTGCTAATAATGTTCTAATAATGTTCAGAGTGCTAATAATGTTCAGAGTGCTAATAATGTTCAGAGTGCTAATAATGTTTAGAGTGCTAATAATGTTCAGAGTGCTAATAATGTTCAGAGTGCTAATAATGTTCAGAGTGCTAATAATGTTCAGAGTGTTAATAATGTTTAGAGTGCTAATAATGTTCAGAGTGCTAATAGTGTTCAGAGTGCTAATAATGTTCAGAGTGTTAATAATGTTCAGAGTGCTAATAATGTTCAGAGTGCTAATAATGTTCAGAGTGTTAATAATGTTCAGAGTGCTAATAATGTTCAGAGTGCTAATAATGTTCAGAGTGCTAATAATGTTCAGAGAGCTAATAATGTTCAGAGTGCTAATAATGTTCAGAGAGCTAATAGTGCTAATATTTACCTAATCTCCCGAAGTCTCCTTCGCCCCATGTGTAGAGCTCTCCATCCTCACTGACTGCTGCACTGTGTCTGTAGCCTGCAGACACACAGACCACCACCTGGCCCAACAACATTCAACAGTCAGGACTGAGACATGACGACAAATGGAACACACTAAAATATACTTGTTTAATGAAATTACACATTATTATAAACTGGGTGGGTCGAGCCCTGAATGCTGATTGGCTGACAGCCGTTGTATATCAGACCGTATATCACGGGTATGACAAAACATTTATATTTACGCCTCTATAACCAGTTTATAATAGCAATAATGCACCTCGGAGGTTTGTGGTATATGGCCAATATACCACGGCTAAGGGCTGTATCCAGGCACTCTGCGTTGGGTCGTGCTTAAGAACAGCCCTTAGCCGTTGTATATTGGCCATATACCACACCTCCACGGGCCTTATTGCCTAATTATACCATGGCATTGTTGAAAAGCCGTTTCTGATTGGCTTGAAGGGCATTCTAGAGCATGCATTATTTCCCTATAATGCACGGTATAATTAAATGGCTATAGTTCATTCTTACATGTTTGAATTGAAAACATTTTAAATGGCAGTGTTGAATTAAATTTTTATAATATCAAGCTAGGACTGATGGTTTGGTTAGCTAAGCTAGCAAGTCTGTTTGGTTACCACGGCAACTACTGTAGTTATCTAGTAAACTTGCTAGCTACTTCAGTGGATGTTGAACACATTCCTACCGGAAAATGAACACATTTCTAGCTGCAAATGTGTTAAATTATAGCCTTGGTATAAAAGGGATAATCAACGAAGGGCTGTGTGTTCTCTGGAAAATAATGCAACTCCGTGGAAGGTCAGTTCCACTCTGCTAAGGTGTCGTGGACCACACCTTCCACGTCGTTCATTATTTCCCATAGAACACACAGCCTCTCGTTGATTAGGGGCTGTGGTGGTCTAGGGGGTGTGGTGGTCTAGGGAGTGTGGTGGTCTAGGGGCTGTGGTGGTCTAGGGGCTGTGGTGGTCTAGGCAGTGTGGTGGTCTAGGGAGTGTGGTGTTCTAGGGGGTGTGGAGGTCTAGGGCTGTGGTGGTCTAGGGGCTGTGGTGGTCTAGGGAGTGTGGTGGTCTAGGGAGTGTGGTGGTCTAGGGGGTGTGGTGGTCTAGGGAGTGTGGTGGTCTAGGGGGTGTGGTGGTCTAGGGCTGTGGTGGTCTAGGGGCTGTGGTGGTCTAGGGGCTGTGGTGGTCTAGGCAGTGTGGTGGTCTAGGGGCTGTGGTGGTCTAGGGGCTGTGGTGGTCTAGGGAGTGTGGTGGTCTAGGCAGTGTGGTGGTCTAGGGGTGTGGTGGTCTAGGGGCTGTGGTGGTCTAGGGGCTGTGGTGGTCTACGGAGTGTGGTGGTCTAGGGGCTGTGGTGGTCTAGGGGCTGTGGTGGTCTAGGGGCTGTGGTGGTCTACGGAGTGTGGTGGTCTAGGGGCTGTGGTGGTCTAGGGGCTGTGGTGGTCTACGGAGTGTGGTGGTCTAGGGGCTGTGGTGGTCTAGGGGCTGTGGTGGTCTAGGAGCTGTGGTGGTCTAGGGAGTGTGGTGGTCTAGGGCTGTGGTGGTCTAGGGCTGTGGTGGTCTAGGAGCTGTGGTGGTCCTATAGGGGCTGGGATGTGGTGGTCTAGGGGCTGTGGTGGTCTAGGGAGTGTGGTGGTCTAGGGAGTGTGGTGGTCTAGGGAGTGTGGTGGTCTAGGGGTGTGGTGGTCTCTAGGCTGTGGTGGTCTAGGGGGTGTGGTGGTCTAGGGGCTGTGGTGGTCTAGGGGGTGTGGTGGTCTAGGGGCTGTGGTGGTCTAGGGGCTGTGGTGGTCTAGGGGTGTGGTGGTCTAGGGGCTGTGGTGGTCTAGGGGCTGTGGTGGTCTAGTCCTACCTTTCCCTGCAGAGGTCCCTGGATGAGTTTGGGGTACTTCTGTGTGGAGCTGTTCCCGTGCCCCAACTTTCCGTAGTCCCCGTCTCCCCAACTGAACACCTCTCCCTCCGTGGTGAAGGCCAGTGAGTGTCCGTCCGACCCCTTCGAAGACGACACCTTTTTGATGGCACGGTGTGGTTCAAAGGTCAGCTTCTTGAGAGTTGATTGGTTGTTGGAGTCTCCCAGACCCAATCTGCCGTAGCTGCCTTTACCACAGGCTCTGACAGAGCCGTCAGAAGAGATGACGAAGGTGCAGTATTGGCCTGCCTCAATCTGACACAGACAAGCACTGGGTTTAGGATTCACACCTGTCAATGGGCATTTCCTAACAATCTGGGATGATTTCTGATCCATGGGTGTCATCAGTCAGAACCACTTATCACTTTCAAACATCACTTTTATGGACAGGTGCAGGGAATCACATTTTTCCTTAACCATGAGACAACAATAACTGGGATATGGGAATCACCTAAGGCGTCACTCACGAAAGCCCAATGTGTCATTTTTTTTTAACATTGATTACGCAGCCCAACTTTTGATTGGAGTGTCAACATTTTACTTTTTTTTTTCTCCCAGGAATGTGTTAATGATCGTCTCCTTGCACTGGGTGCAGGGTTCTAGGGGTTGACCGTCATTCTTATGGACAAGTGCTCTTCTAGTGTTTCTTCATCCTGGTCCTGGGGACCCACTTTGTAGTTTTTGCCCTACACTACACACCTGCTTCCACTGGTTTAAGCCATTCAATATAGGCTTGGACGGTATACCGTATACCGGGGTATTTGGAAATAGCCACAGGACGGTTTTTCCAATACTGTCAATACCGTTGAAACTATTTCTTTGAAATTTTGTATAAATAAAAATAAATAATTTGAAGCTACTTTTTAAGTAAATACCTGCAGTCAACTTGTGTAACACGTTAGGAGATAAAGAAGATTGTGTTCTTAATTTCCCCTGTCACATAATGTTCCATTATAAAGCTTCCTGGTAGTCCCCAGTCACGTGGTGTTTGTTTACAAGCACACAACGACTAGAGACCGGAGCCTTGTGAGCAATGATGTATATAAACCCTAGATTGCTGATACTATGTATTGGGCCATTGAGAGGTTTTGAAGCCACCGGTCGGCCATATTGCCACTCCCCAGTAGGAGCAGTCCTCCATAGGAATGAATGGAACTCTACAGCATTTCAATTAAATGTTTCAAGGACAAGATTACATTAGTATTTAAGTATGTTGTTGTTGTAGTGGGGACAATAACATTAGTAATCTCAAAAATATATATTTTAAGAAAAATGTTTTCATATATCATTTAATTTAACATTTTTTATGTTTAGCTCATAATATAATTTTTTTTGTCATTTAGCAGACGCTCTTATCCAGAGCGACTTACATTTAGTGAGTGCATACATCATTTTTTTATTTTTCATACTGGCCCCCCCCGTGGGAATCGAACCCACAACCCTGGCATTGCAAACGCCATGCTCTACCAACTGAGCTACATCCCTGCCGGCCATTCCCTCCCCTACCCTGGACGACGCTGGGCCAATTGTGCGCCGCCCCATGGGTCTCCCGGTCGTGGCCTGGATACGAACCAGGATCTCTAGTGGCACAGCTAGCACTGCGATGCAGTGCCTTAGACCACTGCGCCACTCGGGAGACCATAATTAATATAATTTAAAAGTATGCATTAAGGTGTCTGTAATAGTAAATGTGTCAAAAACTAATGTTGACATTTATAAATGCATTTCTATAGCTTCCAAAATGTTTTTTTTTTTTTACAATGGAGGAGTACCAAGATGGCTGCGCGGTGGCTTCAACACAGCGCCCCCTGTCAGTCATCCAGGGTTTACATTTACATTTACATTTTAGTCATTTAGCAGACGCTCTTATCCAGAGCCACTTACAGTTAGTGAATGCATACATGTTTTGTTTTTTTATTCATACTGGCCCCCCGTGGGAAACGAACCCACATCCCTGCCGGCCAAACCCTCCCCTACCTTGGACGACGCTGGACCAATTGTGCGCCGCCCATGGGTCTCCCGGTCGCGGCCGGCTGCGACAGACACATCATTGCTCGTGAGTCACTCACTCACTGTTGTGCAGCACTCGCTTGGTTATCGAGTTACAGGATGGAATTCACAACGTAATGTTTGCCAGCTAGATAACTTGTAACTATTAAGCTAACTGTCATGTTTTGTGCTGCTACCATGTTGTTGTCATGTTGTGTTGCTACCAGGCTGTGTTGTCGTCTTAGGTCTCTCTTTATGTAGTGTTGTGGTGTCTCTCTTTATGTAGTGTTGTGGCGTCTCTCTTTATGTAGTGTTGTGGTGTCTCTCTTTATGTAGTGTTGTGGTGTCTCTCTTTATGTAGTGTTGTGGTGTCTCTCTTTATGTAGTGTTGTGGCGTCTCTCTTTATGTAGTGTTGTGGCGTCTCTCTTTATGTAGTGTTGTGGTGTCTCTCTTTATGTGTGTTGTGGTGTCTCTTTATGTATGTTGGCCCTTTATGTAGTGTTGTGGCTCTCTCTTATGTAGTGTTGTGGCGTCTCTCTTTATGTAGTGTTGTGGCGTCTCTCTTTATGTAGTGTTGTGGTGTCTCTCTTTATGTAGTGTTGTGGTGTCTCTCTTTATGTAGTGTTGTGGTGTCTCTCTTTATGTAGTGTTGTGGTGTCTCTCTTTATGTAGTGTTGTGGTGTCTCTCTTTATGTAGTGTTGTGGCGTCTCTCTTTATGTAGTGTGTGGTTCTCTCTTTATGTAGTGTTGTGGTGTCTCTCTTATGTAGTGTTGTGGTGTCTCTCTTTATGTAGTGTTGTGGTCTCTCTTTATGTAGTTTGTGGTGTCTCTCTTTATGTAGTGTTGTGGTGTCTCTCTATTTATGTAGTGGTTGTGGGTTTCTCTCTTTATGTAGTGTTGTGGTGTCTCTCTTTATGTAGTGTTTGTGGGTGTCTCTCTGTGGCACTCTGTTAGTAGTGTTGTGGTGTCTCTCTTTATGTAGTGTTGTGGCGTCTCTCTTTATGTAGTGTTGTGGTGTCTCTCTTTATGTAGTGTTGTGTTGTCTCTCTTTATGTAGTGTTGTGGTGTCTCTCTTGCTATATGTTTTATTTATTTTTTATCCCAGTCCCCGTCCCCGCAGGAGGCCTTTTGCCTTTTGGTAGGCCGTCATTGTAAATAATAATTTGTTCTTAACAGACTTGCCTAGTTAAATAAAAGGTTAAATAAATACATGTACTAAATGCTCTGCAGTTGTGATGTGGTTTGCTAATTTAGTAGCTAGTTAGCTATCTAGCTAAGTGGTTAGCTTCTTCCAAAATCAAGCTTCGCTTGGTAACAGCAGAGAATCCCCTCCTGGATCAAGAGCCTTGCTGTCTAATACTTGTTTTGTGCGTGCACCAAACTGTGAGTAGCATTTTTGCATTACTTTATAACTTTATGAGCTAGGATGTCTGTCCTGAAAATAGTTTATGTCAGATACTGTATAAAACGTTCGCAATGACCTCATTAGCATTTGGTTAGCATTCTCTATGGGATTTGACATGTACTTGTTAGCATTGCTAACCTTCGGATTACAGAAGCTCAGTGGGGTTTGAAAATAGCGCCCCTTGTGTTCAGTGCCGATATTACCGAATATCCCGGTACGGCACAAGGTCAGCATGAAGGTATGACAATCTGGATACCGCCGAAGCCTAATTCAATATTTCAATAACCAACCATGATTGGGAACAGTACAGTACATAACATGGGAAGCACAGAGAGTAACCTCTTCTTTTCAATCCATAAAAGCCACTCTTCATGCCCAATGGATTTCACTTTGTCTCTTCTTAATAAGTTCTATTTCCTCTCAGAACTAGGCTGCACTATCAGTCTCAAGAGACTTACTACTGAGGGGAATCAGCTTTCCTTAAACCAGTGGTTCTCACACCTCTGGGACCCCCAGCCCTTCCATGTATTTTAACTATTCCACAGCTAGCACACCTGATTCAACTAATCATCAAGCCCTTGGGGGTCCCCGAGGAGAGCTTTGGGAACCACTGGCTTAAAACAGACAAAACAGGACATACATCCTCCTTGTTGAACTGACACACACACACACACACACACACACACACACCTTCGGAGACCTGTGGTCTCTTACCGTCTGTGCGTCGGCGAAGCTGGGCGTCAACTTGGGCTGGAGGATCTTCTCCTGTGTTCCCTCCACCAGCTGGTGGGAGCTGTTGCTGCCCCACACGTACACCTCACACGTCTCTGACACAACGGGAGCCTCGCCCGTCTGGAGGCTGTCTGGGCTGGCACAGGTACGGGAGTAGTCTGACGCCATCCTGCACACCTGGGAGGGAATAGCGCCAAGACTTTACTTGAAGGCTACTTAACCTACATGTACACGACGACGTCATCATTCATTCATTCACAACCCCATACATTTTTGCATTCATAAGCAGTACACTGTATAAGCTTTTTCAGAAGAGAGAAAAAAAAAAAACTAAACATCAATTGACCTGTGAAATGGTATTTGAGTGGATATTTTACCTCTTCGAACAGACACAGCGCCGCTTCGTACAAAGAACACAACCCGTCTGATGTGCGTTTAGGTTCCCTCCACTGGCTCCTGTCTGCTGACGAGCCCTGGTAGAGAGAGTCAGGAGACATCAGGTACACAGTTAGCCACGGCTACATGTAGCCATATTACACGGCATGTGGTAAATGGGACCATACACAATGACTTAATCAATCATGAGCAATGAATAAGGAGCCCTCTGGGAGAAGAAGCTTGGAGAAATACATCTGGTATTATAAAAAGCACAATAGACCTACAGAACACAATGTAAGTACGCGACAAATCAGGAGCAATAAAGTGTGTTTGTTGGACGCTTACCAGGGAGCGTCTCATCTGCATGAGGATGTTCATGAAGCAGTCGTATCCAATCAGTCCTTCCGGGTTCAGCAGAGACACCTTCATCTTCTCCTTCTCCATGGTGCTGACCACGGCAGACGCCACCAGCGCCATCTCCACCCACTCCAGCAGGTACCTCAGGGAACCCCTCTGGGCAGCAAGGCCCAGCAACAGCTCCGACGCCAGCCTCCGACCCAAGATGTCCGCCCCGGAGTTTGGCATGGTCACTCCCTTGAGGAAGGTGGTGACCTGGACCAGGCAGTCCAGACCCATAGGGGGGATCTTACTCTCGTTGGCCAGGGAGAGGGGCGGCAGGGAGGAGACCACGTCGATGGCCGTGTGGATGACGTCGTTGCAGAGGTTGAGTCCTCCGGGGCCGGGCGGCGGCATCATCCAGCTCTGACGGAGCAAGGCGAAGAGCAGACTGAGCCCCGTGCGGACCCCCATCTCGATCAGAGCGTCGGTGCTGGACCGCGGCCGCTCGTTGACAGAGTGCAGGTCGGCCGATCCGGAGTTGTTCTCGGGCGAGTGCTGCTGCTGCTTGACCTTGCCCTTGTCGTGGTACTTGTTGGACAGAGCGTAGAAGATCCTCTGGAGGACCAGCAGGCGTTTGCGGAGAGCTGCGGCGAAGGGGGAGTCGGAACACACCATCTTGGCCAGCGCCATCTGGCTGCTGAGGAGGGCGTCCAGGTAGTGTTCCTGTTCATCGCTGGACAGGGACTCACGCTCAAAGTCCGGCAGCTGGGGTCCCTTCAGACACAGCACCTGAGGACACAGCATTGACGATGTGTTTTGTGATGATGTGTGTTGTACTATGTTAACGATGTGATGGTTTCACTTTTAGGCCTCATTACACTTTATTCTGGTCCCAGATTTGCTTTGTGTTCTGACCAACAGATGTTTGGCATGACAATCAGTGACAAGGAGTTGGCATGGTAGCATAAACAGACTGGCCCTCAGGCTGGTGAATACATAGAGCTTGTGATGCAAAACAACATTTCTGTGCAAGCAGACAACATATTGGCCGTGTCGCAAACGGCCTACATAGGGAACAGAGTTGCATTTGGGACGCATCTCCTCCTGCTCTCACCTGCTGGGGTAAGAGGACCACCTCCTGCTCTCACCTGCTGGGGTAAGAGGACCACCTCCTGCTCTCACCTGCTGGGGTAAGAGGACCACCTCCTGCTCTCACCTGCTGGGGTAAGAGGACCACCTCCTGCTCTCACCTGCTGGGGTAAGAGGACCTCCTCCTGCTCTCACCTGCTGGGGTAAGAGGACCACCTCCTGCTCTCACCTGCTGGGGTAAGAGGACCACCTCCTGCTCTCACCTGCTGGGGTAAGAGGACCACCTCCTGCTCTCACCTGCTGGGGTAAGAGGACCACCTCCTGCTCTCACCTGCTGGGGTAAGAGGACCACCTCCTGCTCTCACCTGCTGGGGTAAGAGGACCACCTCCTGCTCTCACCTGCTGGGGTAAGAGGACCACCTCCTGCTCTCACCTGCTGGGGTAAGAGGACCACCTCCTGCTCTCACCTGCTGGGGTAAGAGGACCACCTCCTGCTCTCACCTGCTGGGGTAAGAGGACCACCTCCTGCTCTCACCTGCTGGGGTAAGAGGACCACCTCCTGCTCTCACCTGCTGAGGTAAGAGGACCACCTCCTTGTTGCTGAGCAGCTTGGAGTACAGCGCCGACACGCCCTCCCGCGTGGCGATGGACTCGCTGTCCTCCATGATCCACGAGCCGTTCAGGTGCTCCAGCCATTTGAGCTTCACTGGAGGAATCATCAGGGCCATGATGGCATGTCACTCTGCTGCCGTTAATCCTGGGTGGACAGGGGGGGAGAGATATTAGCTAGGCCTAACCATTAAGAAAGGGGAATAAAAATCACTGAAACAACAATAAAATATGACACAACCAGACAGACGAGAGATATATTAACATGACAGACAGACAGACAGACAGACAGACAGACAGACAGACAGACAGAGACAGACAGACAGACAGACAGACAGACAGACAGACAGACAGACAGAGGCTTGCCCACTCTGGGGAAGGGTACAAAAACATTTCTGCAGCATTGAAGGTCCCCAAGTACGCAGTGGCCTCCATCATTCTTAAATGGAAGAAGTTTGGAAACACCAAGACTCTTCCTAGAGCTGGCCGCCCGGTCAAACTCAGAGTGAACCTGATGGATGGTCACTCTGACAGAGCTCCAAAGTTCCAAGATTGAACTCTTTGGCCTGAATGCCAAACGTCACGTCTGGAAGAAACCTGGCACCATCCCTACGGAGAAGCATGGTGGTGGCAGCATCATGCTGTGGGGATGTTTTTCAGCGGCAGGGACAGTGAGACTAGTCAGGATCGAGGGAAAGATTAACGGAGCAAAGTACAGAGAGATCCTTGATGAAAACCTGCTCCAGAGCGCTCAGGACTTCAGACTGGGGCAAAGGTTCACCTTCCAACAGGACAACGACCCTAAGCACACAGCCAAGACAACGCAGGAGTGGCTTCAGGACAAGTCTCTGTAATGTCCTTGAGTGGCCCAGCCAGAACCCGGACTTGAACCCAATCGAACATCTCTGGAGAGACCTGAAAATAGCTGTGCAGCGATGCTCCCCATCCAAACTGACAGAGCTTGAGAGGATCTGCAGAGAAGAGTGGGAGAAACTCCCCAAATACAGGTGTGCCAAGCTTGTAGCGTCATACCCAATAAGACTTGAGGCTGTAATCGCTGCCAAAGGTGCTTCAACAAAGTACTGATTAAAGGGTCTGAATACTTACGTAAATGTGATATTTTAGTTTAAAAAAATATATAAATGTGCAAACATTTCTAAAAACCAGTTTTTGCTTTGCCATTATGTGGTATTGTGTGTATATTGATGAGGGGTAAAAAAAAAAAAAAATCAATCAATTTTAGAATAAGGCTGTAACGTAACAAAATGTGAAAGGGGTCTAACACTTAAGTTTTTATACTTATTTCAATGTATTCCTATCTTTCTGACAATCTTTTTTTTATCTCCATAGATAAACTGATATCTGCTTTTATCTGGAACAAGAAAAACCCTTGGATACGTAAGAGCGTATTGCAGACATCTCGTCCCCAGGGTGGTCTTGCACTTCCGAACTTTCAATATTATTACTGGGCAGCTAATATAAGAATCATTCTATATTGGATGACAGAAATCCCTCATGTTACAGGCCCGAAATGGTTGACCTTGATGATGTCATCCTGTGGCCCCACCTCCTTAGCTGCTTTACTCTGCTCAAAACATGCATTAGCTGAGCCTGTTTCCAAATACACTAAAAACCCTATTGTGAAACATTCTCAAACAATCTGGAAACAGTTCAGGCGATCATTTGGTCTCAGTGAATTTTCAACTTCTGCCCCGTTATTAAAGAACCATCCATTCTCTCCATCATCATTATGAGACCCGGGCGTTTCATATCTGGTCTGGAAAAGGGATCTCCTCACTGAACGACTTGTACATTGATACGGATTTAGCATCTTTTGAACAGTTAGTACAAAAGTTCAATATTCCCAGATCCCATTTCTTTAGATACCTACAATTGCATAGTTTTGTCTCTTCATACTCTAGTCACTTCCCATCACGCCCACCTACCTCCCTTCTAGATTCTATTTTTAAAGTGAACCCTTATATCAAAAGGGGGCATAAGCTTGATCTATACGTTATTAAACTTGCACAATCTGGATTCCCTGAACTCTCTTAAGAACCAAATGGGAAGAGGTTTTCGCTGAACAACACAGATGAAACTTGGCAGAGTATGCTTTAGAGAATACATTCTTCATCTATATGTCTAAGACATGCTGTAATTCAATTTAAAATAGTTAAAATCGGCTGCATTGGTCAAAGGCAAAATTATCCAAGATTAGACCAGAAATACACTACTGGTCAAAACGTTTTAGAACACCTACTCATTCAAGGGTTTTTCTTTATTTTTACTATTTTCTACATTGTAGAATAATAGTGAAGACATCAACACTATGAAATAACACACATGGAATCATGTAGTAACCAAAAAAGTGTTAAACAAATCAAAATATATTTTGATGACAGCTTTGCACACTCTTGGCATTCTCTCAACCAGCTTCATGAGGTAGTCACATGGAATGCATTTCAATTAACAGGTGTGCCTTCTTAAAAGTTAATTTGTGGAATTTCTTTCCTTCTTAATGCATTTGAGCCAATCAGTTGTGTTGTGACAAGGTAGCCCCCTTCATTCCAGGTATACAGAAGATAGCCCTATTTGGTAAAAGTCCAAGTCCATATTATGGCAAGAACAACTCAAATAAGCAAAGACAAACAACAGTCCATCATTACTTTAAGAGATGAAGGTCAGTCAATACGGAACATTTCAAGAACTTTGAAAGTTTATTTAAGTGCAGTCGCAAAAACCATCAAGCGCTATGAGGAAACTGGCGCTCATGAGGACCGCCACTGCTGCAGAGGATAAGTTCAATAGAGTTACCAGCCTCAGAAATTGCAGCCCAAATAAATGCTTCACAGAGTTCAAGTAACAGACACATCTTAACATCAAATGTTCAGAGGAGACTGCGTGAATCAGGCCTTCATGGTCGAATTGCTGCAAAGAAACCACTACTAAAGGACACCAATAAGAAGAAGCGACTTGCTTGGGCCAAGAAACACGCGCAATGGACATCTTCGTAAGATGCGGTGCGGGTGAACGGATGATCTCCGCATGTGTATTTCCCACTGTAAAGCATGGAGGAGGAGGCGTTATGGTGTGGGGGTGCTTTGCTGGTGACACTGTCTGTGATTTACACTTAACCAGCATGGCTACCACAACATTCTGCAGCAATACGCCATCCCATCTGGTTTGGGCTTAATGGGACTATCATTTGGGGGTTTCTCAACAGGACAATAACCCTACACACCTCCAGGCTGTGTAAGGGCTGTTCTACCAAGAAGGAGAGTGATGGAGTGCTGCATCAGATGACCTGGCCTCCACAATCCCCTGACCTCAACCCAATTGAGATGGTTTGGGATGAGTCTGACCGCAGAGTCAAGGAAAAGCAGCCAACAAGTGCTCAGCATACCTTCAAGACTGTTGGAAAAGCATTCCAGGTGAAGCTGGTTGAGAGAATGCCAAGAGTGTGCAAAGCTGTCATCAAGGCAAAGGGTGGCTATTTTAAGAATCTCAAATATAAAATATATTTTGATTTGTTTAACACTTTTTTGGTTACTACATGATTCCATATGTGTTATTTCATAGTTTTGATGTCTTCACTATTATTCTACAATGTAGAAAATAGTAAAAATAAAGAAAAACCCTGGAATTAGGAAGTTACGCAACATCTCAAGCTAGAGAAAATACGCTCCGCCGTTAGGGGATCTGCAATTACATTTTGTAATATCTGGCAACCTTTCTTATTCTTTGTAGAAGACATGGACCCAGCTAATTTCACAACTCCATAAACCAACCCAAATTAGAATTTGTATCACTATTTTTACTTTTTGTTTTATAATATATTTTTTACTATATGATTATATTACTAATTCTATATCATGGCTGGGTTGGGGAGGGTTTGATCTGGTAGGGGATCCGTGTGTGTTCTGTTGGAGCATGGCTGGGTTGGGGAGGGTTTGATCTGGTAGGGGATCCGTGTGTGTTCTGTTGGAGCATGGCTGGGTTGGGGAGGGTTTGATCTGGTAGGGGATCCGTGTGTGTTCTGTTGGAGCATGGCTGGGTTGGGGAGGGTTTGATCTGGTAGGGGATCCGTGTGTGTTCTGTTGGAGCATGGCTGGGTTGGGGAGGGTTTGATCTGGTAGGGGATCCGTGTGTGTTCTGTTGGAGCATGGCTGGGTTGGGGAGGGTTTGATCTGGTAGGGGATCCGTGTGTGTTCTGTTGGAGCATGGCTGGGTTGGGGAGGGTTTGATCTGGTAGGGGATCCGTGTGTGTTCTGTTGGAGCATGGCTGGGTTGGGGAGGGTTTGATCTGGTAGGGGATCCGTGTGTGTTCTGTTGGAGCATGGCTGGGTTGGGGAGGGTTTGATCTGGTAGGGGATCCGTGTGTGTTCTGTTGGAGCATGGCTGGGTTGGGGAGGGTTTGATCTGGTAGGGGATCTGTGTGTGTTCTGTTGGGAGCATGGCTGGGGTTGGGGAGGGTTTGATCTGGTAGGGGATCTGTGTGTGTTCTGTTGGGAGCATGGCTGGGTTGGGGAGGGTTTGATCTGGTAGGGGATCCGTGTGTGTTCTGTTGGAGCATGGCTGGGTTGGGGAGGGTTTGATCTGGTAGGGGATCCGTGTGTGTTCTGTTGGAGCATGGCTGGGTTGGGGAGGGTTTGATCTGGTAGGGGATCCGTGTGTGTTCTGTTGGGAGCATGGCTGGGTTGGGGAGGGTTTGATCTGGTAGGGGATCCGTGTGTGTTCTGTTGGGAGCATGGCTGGAAATGAAACAAGACACTGAAATGAAACAACTAGCCTACAGTGCACTCATCTTATAGTGATCACATCCGTGAAGGACAATTTTATCACTATAAGCTGTTGATCACACTAACCACATTCAGTTTATGGAACTAGGCTATAGACCTAACATGTAACATGTCCTCGGAACTCCAACTAGACCCATAGAGATGATGTATGACTAGTCAGCTAGCCTAATACTGTGTTCCAGTTACTACACATGGCATTCCCAATATTCCTGGGGGAACATTTTCCAACATGCTGTCAGCCTAATCCATGGAACCAATGTAACGCCCTAATTTTGCTGGAAGTAACCATGACATTGCATATTACCCAACGACCTAGGTGT